TTTATCCCGTAAATAGCTTATTTCAGGTGAATCACATTGCAAATATATCGAATATATCAGTTGACTTCATAAGCGCTTGAGTGGAATCAATTAGTTGAATTCTGAGTATTTCGCATAATGTTTCACCGACTAATTTTCTTACGCAGTCAAAAAATTCAGCGCCTTTCAGACTGAAAACGTTGTTCGGTAAAATAGATGTATCACACTTGTTGTTCATTTATGAATGTAATTTAACAGTGAAAATAACTTGATCTAGAACTTCACAAAATAAGAGGCACGGTCTTACAATATATGCAAAGAAAGAAAAAGCTGCATGCGTTGAAAAAATAAGGGAGAGAAAAAGAAGACATTTTAAATAAGAATCTTAGTCAGAGTCGGCTTGAAGATAATTAGAGAAAGCGAATATTTTGAAGACGGAATGGCAGTTTCAACACCCTATCACAATTATGATATCTTCCTTCGTTAGCTCGTTTATCCACTAGATATGACTTTTCTTCAGCCGAAGAAAGTCTTTAGTACTAAATGAAAAAAGAAACAAGCTTGACTTTTCATTGGTTAATTTGGTTTGGTTTAAACTTTATTCATTAGTATATAATACTGTTACAATTCCCAAGAAACACACGAAATCGACTGAGTCATTGCACCTGCGTAATATCCAGGGAGAGGAGAAGACGAGAAAACAAATAAAAATTGCATAATCACTTGAAAAGAAGAAAAAGAAAGAAAAAACGAAAAGTAAAAACATCAATAAGAAAAGATAAAGAAGAAGAGATGATGTGATCAAGAATAGTCAGAATGTAGAAGAAAAACAGAAAAAGAGGAAAACAAGAAGGAGCCATCAAATTTGAAAAAGAAAATAGATACGTATATAATGTAAGATTCAGTGGTCGAAACGACCACTTTCTTTTGTAAATAGTATTACAGCTTTGTATATAAAAGTCAAATGATCACATTCAAAAAAGCCAAGTAGAAGAAGAGAAGAAAGACATATATCTCGCCAACAAATTACGATCTACACCTGACTCTTTCCGCCGCAATGCCAGAAAAAGCATTGATATAGTGAATAAAGGTTAAGGCAGACGAAGATGCTATTTTATATAGCTTAGTACAGAGCGTATTACGTAAAACTATACCACTTTTTGCGCACACAAATGTCTCACGGTATTGAAGTTGTACTATGGTTACTTCATGGATTTCTTCATATGTCGTGTCTTTTATACATTTCACAGGCCGAAATGTATATATTATCATAAGGTAATTTCATATGCTTTTCGTAAAGGGAAATACAATCTCTTTCTCACTTCCTGTGCATGGTGGGATGAGGTTTTCATCTACTAGCTCCTTTATGCATGGATTCTGAAAATAATTTCTAGGTTCCATTTCTTTTCGACATATAGTGAATTCATTTCCTGTATCACAACGTTCTTTATCCAATGCTTCAACGAAGTCTAAAAACTTTTAAAGAGCAGATATAAAGGCAGTGTACCTTAAAGAAAATACGAAAATTCAGAAACTGCTATTTTTAAATGATAATTAATTTCATCTAATCGAAGTTTACTTGATACCAGCTTGTTTTTCTTAACAATAGAATTTATTCTTAGCAGAACGTTCAGGAGGATATTCAAAAAGAGAGTCTCGGTCCGCCTGCTGAGACTGTAAAACACGATTCGACACTTCGAAGACCAATACGTAACTCAAAAGTTATGCTGCATCGAATTGTAACAGGAACTAGTTTAAGAAGTTTTTTAAACAAGTTTTCACCACATTTAAGAAACTAAAACGCGGAATCCGTGCAAGTGATGTCGTGTCCTTATAGTTGATTGGCATAAATGGCTAAAAGAATTCTTGGAATTTGCTCTGAGTTTTCTCCATTATGCAGTATTTAACGAAAGAAAAAAGTTCATCGCGACAGATTGTAATAGAACATATTTATACACAAGGTTTTATTATCAAATAAGCTGCTTAGTTAAAGAAAAAAGGCGAATCGTTGAAGAAACGATCGATATTTTGGAGCATTTATCTTTTCTCACTTGCTTAAAGGCTCATCTACAGTTTGCCTAAAGCGGTATATTTAAGGGATTATTGTTGATGCTAATCACCGATCTGATATGTGTTTCTGCCACTAGACCTTTCTTAAATGAGAAAATAGGCTTTGAAGACTCTGATCACCGTAATCGTCAAACCATCTTGTGCTGCTCCCTCTCAAGAAAGAAAAGGTCACCGAGCTGAACAATCTTCAAAAACAAGTAATTTTACGGACAACTGTACAAAATACTGGCCTAGCTACACCAGAAAGCCGAAAACAGTTGGAACAACTAATAACAACCATCGTGAAGAAACAAACAGAATTAAAATCTCTAGCATTTTTGTGACAGAGTCAATCAAACTTCAGAAAGAAAAAGAAATTAGTAATTTAAAAAACAGCTGAAGAACATCCAGATGTTGACATGAAATTAAAATATATTTTCAAAGAAGAAACAGGTCTACCAAGTGCAGAAGAAAATCAACCTAAGCTCTTGTCCGTAAAAGAAGAAATTGCTAGTATCGGCACTGTTGCTCAACAACGTCATTCAGAAGTCTTACGACCGCGTCTCATACTTGATGATTTAGTTGAAAGATTGAAATCTTATGGTTTAGAAATAAATGACGCACATTGTATTACAGGTGAATTTCTTTTTAGAAACTTCTAAATTCTGCATTATACCTGTTTTCTTACCTTATAGCTTATTTACTCCATCCAATTTAGAATGCCGAAGATAGGTTTGCCTGGGCAAAAAAAACAGGCAACCTTGCTAATGCACTTAGATTATGAAATTCGATTTCCTGATCATGATTTTGTTGTTGCACCAGGTCACCTACTTACACCATCTGTGTGTGCTGCTTGTTTAATAAAACCATAAGGTAAAGTAGGTTACAGCGGTGGCTTTCATTCCAATCAGATCAAGAAAACGTGACAAAAGTATCGCATTAAATCCTTCCAATGTTTCCGACACTTCACTCATGTTAAAAGAATTTGATGGCATACGTTACAAGGTGCTGTTAAACTATTGTGGTAATATTAGTTGACGGTGGTCCGGATGAAAATCCGCGATTTCCGAAAACTTTATTATCAGCAACAGATGTTGTCAAAACCCATCAGTTAGGTACATTATATACATTGACTCATGCATCAGGACAATCAGCATACAATCCGGTCAAAACGACGTATGACCGCATTTAGTCATGATCTTGCGGTCTCATTTTGCCTAACGATCAGTTCGGAGTGCACTTGAAGAACAATGGGGCGACTGCCGATATAGCTTAGAAAAAGAAAATTTTCGAAAAGCTGAAGAAATGGTCTTCAACTGTTATCGATAGTTACTCTGTTGTTGCTCAATTTGCTGAACATCGTGATCGTGATGCAGAAGGAGATTTGCAAGATTTTGACGAAAGTTGGCGCTCTAGACACGTTCTACAGACACAGTATACGTGTCAAATCGTTTTCTGTGATAATGTTGGTTGTTGTGATGCAAGACGTTCAAACTACATTCAAGTATTTCCACATCGTTTTTTGCCTGCACCACTTCCCTTTGAACGTAATGCCGAAGACTTCGCACTCGCAAAACACGATAATGGAAATACTGCATTCTATGGATCACTTTTTCAAAGATTATCACTAAAGCGCTTTGTTACAACATCTTTGAAAAACGATGTTAAAGGTTTTCTAGTAGTATCTGTGGAAAGCCAGCTTGTCAAAGATCGAAGACATGATGTATTTTCGTCAACAAACACTACAATCGACAGCCCTGGCATTGTTTTAGAATTCTACGGCATTGGTACTTAATTCTGATACCACCGAGGGAGTTATACGAAAGTCCCGAAAATGGTCTTTTTCACTAATGAGAAAAGTTATTTCTTGAGGAACAATAGGTTTTTTACATCAATACATAGGGTTTCAGACATCCTAATCGACATGGAAGTGTTCTGAAATGTTCTTCTACTTTTTGTTTCTCTGTGTGAACAAAGAATGAGGATTTGATTGAATTAACTTTTGCAATATAAATGGAAGCTGAGTGCATCCGATGCTCGAAATTAATAAAAGGAACATTTGTCATGCTGAAAGGAAAAGAATGTTCAGTCGTACCGAAGAAGGTCATCTTTCATGCTATCGACTTTGTCGAGCAAGAGAAAAGTGGCCTTGTGATTTCTTTGACAGATGTAAACGCTCGACTCAGTGTTCTTTTGGGTATCAGCGAGCGTATGATTATCAATTTAAAGTGCGAGCTGTCAGAATTGTGAAAGAACGATAGCAGGATCGATGTCGACAGGCCACGAAGCCATATGAAGGGCTTCGGTTTTACCTATAAGCGCACAGAGGTCTATCTCTCTCGAACACTTGTCATTCGCTGCACGATGAGCTGCCTATTGCCGATGCCTCGATGAGTTAAGAGAGGGAAGTGCTTATGTATATTATCTCGATGACACATGGTGTAATGTCGGAGAGGAAAAGCGCTCGATCTGGCTTGACCAGAAGGGAGTAGGACGCATCAGGAAAACCCGATAAAGGGGAAGACGTTTGGTGATATCTACAATGATGAGTGAGAGTGGATTTCATAAGGAATCCATTGATATTTTCTGATGTGATGTTCATCATTCCATGAATTCGTTCCACTGTATCGAGAAGGCAGCATCGTACGTTCCACTGCTCCACGGTCATACAGCTCGTATTGCCATCGTGATAGACAACGCTATTTAGCACAGTGAACTTCTCAACGATGCGAAGCCACCAAAGTGCACCTGGCGAAAAGAACTGATACAGCAATGGTTCAGAGACCATCATGTGGATTTCAACGAAAGCTTTAAGAAGGCTGAATCGCTTCAGATCGCATTTCGATCACGTTCCGCCAAAGCGATTTAAGACGAATGAGACCGCTGCACGTTATCAAGCTGAAATCCTTCGTCTTCTCATCAAACACTAAATGTCTTAAATTTTGTCGACCTCACTTGATTGCAGTTGAATGCTTTTTTTCGAACAAATAATACTTCATTTCATCTCTTGGATATTCGATCAGTAGCCGAAGAATACTTCGCTGCTCTCGACGAAGAGACCAGTGAACGGTCTTCCTTTTTCTATCCATTCCTTTTTTCTATTCACGTATGAGCTAGTCGCTTTTTCTTCTCGCTGACTGTCTGCTATTATTTTGTGGTTTCATGACTAAAAAACACACCCGTTCGAGTCGTTCATCAACTGAATTGAGCCCGATGACAGCTAAGAAATTCATGAATGATGAATTAGTCTTGGAAATTACTCAACCCATCATCGAGAATCCTGAACTTCGACAACAGCTGATTTCACTATTTCTTTCTAGTACCGCCGCTACCACAGCTAATCACATGGATGATAGTAGTGAAGAACAGAAAGTAAAAAACGATGTTGACTGGAGCGGTTTGATTGTTACCAAAGCAGGCGAGATCGGTACATTACTCGCATCTACTGTCGAAAATATTTTTTCGGAACGAATTGATAATTTGGAAGAAAGACTTGATTTAGTGGAAAACGAATTAAAAGGTGCTCGTCGATATTCTCGATCTTTTAATATTCGAATCTATGGCATGGGTGATACTCCAAAGGAGACTCCTCTTCAAACAAAAGCCAAAGTTGACAACTTCTTTTCTACTCAATTTGGTCTTACTTTTCAACATGGAATCGAGTTCTGTCATAGACTGCAGTCTTCTATACCAAATAAACCTTGTCCGATTATTGCAAGACTATATTCTCGTCTGGAACGTCAACAAATATTGTCTTCTTTGGGTAAAATAAAGGGCAAAAATTTGGGAATTACAGCATTTGATGATTTAACTGTAAATTCTTTGGCTATATTCAAACGTGAAAGAACTCGGCTCAAAGATGATGATACAAAGCGAGTAATTCCACGACAAGGCAAAATATTCATACAAAATGAAGATGATCGAAGTGTGTTAAAGTAGGGTAAAGACTTATGCTTAGTTATGTTCTTTTTTCCACTCGTTTGTACACTAGTTTTTCATTTACTGAAGAACCATTTTTTCACTGTTTTTGTTTTCTTTTTTGACAGTCAGCTTTGAACTAAACATGAGCTCATTTTCTTCTCTTTGCTGTTTTTATTCTATTCCCGGACCCCGTAACTATTTTTCCTTTTCAAAATCATGGATACATCTAAGGCAGTTATGTTGTATAATCTTCGTACCTGTCATTATTTCATATGATGGTAGATAAGATTACAGCGAAAGTAAAACAAAGAATTGTCTTTTTAAATTCAAGAAGTATACGGAGTAAAATGAGTGATTTATGCGCCTACGTCACTCTTCAAACTCCTCTGGTTCTTTGTCTTGTTGAGACCTGGCTAGATGGTGCTGTTTCGAACGGGCATATTAGTATTTCGGGCTATAGATTTAAGAGGAGAGATAGAGTGGGTAAAGTTCGTGGTGGTTGTTTAGTTTATATTCGTATTGACGCACACTACACAAGGGTTTTAGAATTTGAACATGTAGATTATGAAATTCTTTGTATTCAAATAACTTTTTCCCATAGTCTTCACTTTCTTGTATCTATTGTATATAGACCACCCGAAATTACAAATTGGAACCATTTTATTTTACATTTTAAAAATCTTTATGCTCTTATTTCTAAATCCAAATATAAATTAGATAAATTACTTTTTATACGAGATTTTAACGTACATAATGATTTACGGTCTCAATCGAATATTCCTTTTGCGCCTGAGGGATTGGAGTTAGATTTAGTTTCTTTTTCTATCGGTCTCTCGCAGCTTGTCTGTGATGTTACACGTTCTATATCTAATACATGTCTAGATCTAATTTTATGTAATGATCCAAATTTTATTTCAAATATTTTAATTTTACCTCCTAGTGTAAATAGTGATCATAGCCCAATTGAATTTTTTGTAAATACTCAAACTATTTTTAAACCTAAAATCGAAAGAATAGTTTATAACTATCGTTTAGCTAATTGGGAGATGATAAACCACAATGTATTTTTTAATTCCTTTTAACTGAATTTTATTTGATTAGGTAAATATAAATGAACGAGTTTTAGCTTTTGAGGAAATTATTTTAGATGTAATTAATCGCTCTGTACTCCATAAAATAATTGTACAACTGCCTCATGATAAAATTTGGTTTTCTGAAGATCTACGTATTTTGTACAAAGAAAAAACTCGAACATATCGCAAATATAAAAGGTCTACAAACGATAAGAATAGACAGATACACGAAGCAGCTGCGGATAAGTTTAAAAAAGGGTGTTCTAGGGCTAAAGAAGTACATTATGAACGTATAAACAGTAAAATTAAGAACTCTTCTAAAAACTGGTGGAGTTTGGTTAAATATACCTTAGGGAAGGAAAGATCTTCGGACATTCCAGCATTAGAAGATGTAAATAGAATGTTTGTAACAGCTTCATTAGATAAAGCAGAAATTTTAAATGTACATTTTTCATCTATATCTACATGGGTGGGACCTCCCTTGGATTGTTCTCAGTTTCCCCTTCCTCAAAGTTTAACTACTCTTTCTTGTTTCTTCTGTAACCCCAGCAGCTGTCAAATACGCTCTAACTCGATCGAATATGAATAAAGCTGTCTTCACATCCGTTTCAAACCGGATGTTGAGACAACTTGAACCCTCTCTAAATAGTATAATTACTCAATTAATTTCTGAATCTTTTAATACTTGTATATTTCTCTCTCTCTGGAAAATTGGTTCCGTTCATTCCCTGTTTAAGTCTGGTGATCCACTTCGGGCTACTAACTATCGCTCTATAACCTTGCTCCCTGCTTTATCTAAAGTAACTGAAAGGGTTGTACATAAACAACTTTATTCTTATTTAATAAAAAATAATTTATTTTCTCCCTTTCAATCTGGTTTTAAAGCTCGAGATGGTACAACAACATTACTTTTAGATGTTATAACTAAGATAAATGCGGGCATGGAAGATGATAAATTTGTTAGAGCTGTTCTTTTGGATTTCCTAAAAGCTTTTGATAATGTCTCTCTTGTAGGGATTTTATATAAATTAAGTAAAAAGGGAAAGCACTTAAATGATTCGAAAGTTATTTGACTGATAGACTAATTGTGACTAGACTAGAAGGAGTTACTTCGAGTCCAAGAGGAATTTCAAAGGGAGTACCCCAAGGATCCGTTCTTGGACCTCTTCTCTTTTTGATCTATAGTGATGATGTTCCTCTTGGGCTCGAAGGGAAAGTCCGAATGTTCGCTGATGATACTATTCTATTTAATCATAATCCTGATCTCTTGAAGCTACTCATACTACTAATCGAGATCTTGATAGAGTATATGAGTGTTTGGTAAGATGAAATGTGCCTATGAATTTGAAAAAATGCGAGGCTATAACATTCTCATCTTCCCGATCACAGAAGCCTGCCCTTGCTCTGCCCCCAATGATTCTTTTTAATCAAATTGTACCTGAAAATGAAAAAGTTAAATACTTAGGTTTAATTCTTGCATACACTCTAAATTGGACTGTACATATTAATTTTATTTCTTCACGTGCTGAATCAGTTATTGGACTAATGAAGATGCATAATATATACTCAATAGGCAACTTTTAGATCTTATCTATAAACATTTTGTTTTATCTATTTTTAACTATGGATTGATTTTATTTTCTATGACTACTCATAATAACCTGGACAAGCTGGAGAGAGTACAACGTCATCTGCTCTAGTCACTTTAGGGGCTATGAGGGGATCTTCGACTCAAAACGTTTTAGAAATTTTAGTCTGGATTAAGTTAGAAGACCATTTCCGTCTTGCCAGACTAAGTTTGTACAGTAAAATAGTTAGACAAATTGCTCCTGAGTATTTACATTCTTATATCCAACAACATGTACCTAATAGTAGATATTCTCTTCGGAGTAATGATAATAGACACCTTAAATCAGTTGAAGATAGACGAAAATCCTTCTTTTGTATCACTACTCAAG